AATTTAAGACCCGTTAGGACCCCAGCGACTCAACCTTGCATTGATTTTTAAACAGAATTTCCTGTTGAATTCCATGAGGCGATCTTGTTAACAAACAAAGGGCTAATTATCCGGGAAAGCAGCCTGTCTCTCAGTATCTGTAGCTACTCATGTAAACCACAATGATGCCTGAAAGTTGTAATTCTCAGTTGTGCAAGATAACGGTTCAGATTACAAATGGCAAAAAGTGACCTGTTTTCTGTGGGTTTTTTGTTTAATTGGTTGGTTTTTTTACTTTTGACAGACTGCAATGCAATTGTTCACAAAGGCTGTAAGGAGAGTTTTGCTTCTTGTGCAAAGGTCAAAATGAAGGTAAGAGATTTGATCTACTCTACTGAATAAAAAAAAAAAAACGTTTAAACAATTGACCATGCAGATATACAACATCTTCTACTGTACGTCCCAAAGCTTCCAGCTTGTTGGAAAGAACTTCAGCCCCTGTGCTATAGTGAATAATTTCTCTGGGCTCTCCTGAAACTCCCCAGAATCACAGGTTAATACAGTAGTTGTCCCCGGGACACTGTGAATGCTCCAGGTCGGCGCCACAGGGTGTTTGTTGGCAGCAAATTCCCTGCGTTGTTCCCTGCAGTACACAGGGACCTTAGGGTGAGATGGTCTGTCCTATGCTTCAATTAAAAAAAAAAAAACCCTTCACTGGCAAAATTCAGGGGTGTCCAGCACCCTTAAATGCCATATATCTTAATTCTCAAATGCTGCATCCTGTAATGCAGCATCATGTGGATGTAATGCATAATGAAATCTATTAAATATGCATGTTGTTTATATGAGGAATGCACAGAATTCATACTTGCCCCAAATGTGATGAACCTCTTCTGTAGTATGGTTCTCCAAGCTAGTTAATGTTCATACAATTATGATTTTCAGTTCTCTTCAGTATTGTCAGCAGTTTCTCTTCTCATTGTCCTATTTGCTGCACATTTCTCCATCTGTTATTTTGCCCATTTCATTGATGGCAACTGGGGGGAGGGACCGCATATGTGTGTGTGCATATATATATTAAAAAAATATAAATAATACACATA